TTAATGAAACACGCTTTATATTTGTACCCCAGCGTCACTTTATAGGCATGGTGCTCTCTCACTCAATAATAATATTAATGAAAAATTTGAATAAATGTAAACATTTTTCAACTATCCGTTTTATTTTTTTTTTTATTCCTCTGGGCGTATGGGTTGAAATTCTGCCATTTTCCAGGAGAGTGATTCTTTGCGACTTCTTCGATTAACGTTATCCACTAACATGAAATGGGAAGATTTATATTGAACCAATTGCTCCGTCTACTGCTAAGAAAGTTGGTTCACTGTGTCATGCTAGACACTTTTTTCTCACCAGAATCTAACCAGAATCTAACTTACGCATTAATAAGCCTACCATTCGTCCATGCATTGAATATTGCTGTCACATCTGGTCTGGCGCTTCTGTTATGCATTTAGAGATTCTTGATAAAATACAAAAATAGAATCTGCAATGTTATTGGGCTCATGTGCGTCTAAATACAATAATTACTTCTTGGGAGACGATACGGAATAATTTATCAACAAATGTCAATGAGTAGTTCTTTAAAAAATACAGCAATTTTATCTAAAAAGATCACTTATGGGACTTAAAAAATTTGCACACACACACAGACGTACTCACATGTACATATATATTACTTCAGACGTTATTTTAAGTGGATACACGTATTTGAGTAGACGATCAATTTATTTTGAACAATATTTATTTCCTGCCTGCGTACCTGAGAAAAGTTAATAAAGAAAATATGTGCTTTTACCGCTCGGCTACGAAGGTTTTTCAAACATATAAAACGCAGCAGCGTATAACATGCACCTTTAATTTGGCAAGACATATTTCGAAAAAGACAAACATTATTTAAGTGAAGATTCATCAGTACTTGTGTATATATATATATATATATATATATATATATATATATATATATATATATATATATATATGGCCTGAATTACGTTAACGCGTGAAACAGACTGTCGCCACTCTGTGTTGACCTGGTGCCCACTTTTTATATTTACACACACTCTATCCTTGATATTGAGCATTTTAACCCATAAATATACCATGCCTTAAAACTATATTTTTATCACACACACACATATATATATATATATATATATATACTCTATCTTTGATATATATTTTTATTACACACACACACACACATATATATATATATGTATGTCTGTCTGTCTGTATGTATGTATACTCTATCCTTAATATTGACATTTTAACCCATAAATATAGCATACCTTAAAACTATGTTTTCATATTTAGCTCCTGGCAAACAATAGAGCACTTTCGCTACATTTATAACACATTATGAAAAAGTTTAGCCTTGGCTACTCCCTAAAAAACATATCCATCCAATCATTATCCACCTACAAGCTAGAATTAATAGAAAAATTAGAAAGATTATACCCATATTTATCTATCTATCCATTGATATATATATATATATATATATATATATATATATATATATATATATATATATATATATATATATATATATATAACACCTATTAATATACCTAAAATTATATACGTCAACTTTTAATGTATATTAAGGTGAATCAAATTTTTACCAATAAAATACTCAACAGATATCTAGAACAATGATTATTGTTACGAAAATATTAAAAGTTCAGTATACATTTGACTTTGACGATGTTTCGCTTGAAATGAATCAGCTAAGTTTAACTGGACTCTGACGAGCGGATCATTGTGAGTCGGTCTTCTATAAATAAATATATTATATATATATATATATATATATATATATATATATATATATATATATATATATATAGATATGTTAACTTACTATGGTACTTTTTATAATGTGTCTTAGAACGAATTCATTCTGTTCTGTTGGTAATTTTTCCATAGCTGGTTATCATAAAAAACAACCAAATAAAATTGTTTTTTGTTTGTTTGTTTGTTTGTTTTTTAATTTAAACAATAATAAGATAGTTCAGAGAGGTGAACAGCAGTAATATCAATATATTTTATTTAACTAGTTACACAAAAATTACCAATAGGTGAATTTGTTTTCAGAAACGTACTTATATTGTTATTATTTTACTTTGTAATCACAATTTAATTATGTATATTCATATACATTTCATTTTTAGGTCATTTGTATACTAATGGACAATGGTATTTATTTGATAGAGTAATAACCAAACCTAGCAATGTGAGTACAAGATACAGACCGAATTTTGGAATAGTTTTAACATTATTTTTATTTTGTTTTATTTTGATTTTATTGATTTGTTTTTTTACGACTTATCAACCTTTTGTAGAAAATATTTTTAGATAGTAAGAGACAATAATGATTTTTACGGATACAAGTGTATATATATATATATATATATATATATATATATATATATATATATATATATATATTAGGAAATGGATTAAATCAGACAGATTTTTAATTTATTTGTTTAAAAGTTTTTTGTTTTTTTTTTAAATGGATACTTATATTTGACTAGA